CAATTCCAGCATAAGGTAGATATCTTTTAAATACAAGAATATAAACTCCATGGTAAAAATTTGTCAATACTAAAGAACAAAATATGGCAAGGAGCTAATTTTTTTGGATAAGAGGCTAATATTTCATTCAATGATATGGCAAACAAAGGGGAGATCAAAAGTAGAAGGATAAGCTTATGTATCTCCTCTCATATATTTATTTTGTTGTATCTTTGAGCCACTTAATATTTCAAATGGCACAATAGATCCAGCATTGAGATATGCTTGGAAGTGAAATTGTGATTCTAAATATATATGTCTTATATATTACACATGAGTAATATGCATTATAGGTAGAATTAGTAGATATGTCATTCATTAATTGCAGATGGGTACTCACTAGAAATTAAAATTTTATTGAGAGAAGAAGCAAAAAATATAATACCTAAAAATTAGTGCTTTCAGGTGACAAATGCAAAATCTTTTAGATACCCATAACCTCCTTTCAAGTAGCTAACAATCTTTTGACATTGCATATTCTGAGGTTTAGTTGAAACAATAGGTGTTGAAATAATACTTGTGCCATGGCACGTCTTAATTAAACCTATGTATTCTTGTTATTGAGGGCTATCACTACTAAATTTGATTATATGATTTTTAGAAATAACATTTATTTAGATTATTTGGCAATGTGGAGACAAATTCACTTAAAACCAAAATTGTAGTAGAAATTGTCCTACATAATGAGAGTATAGTTTCTAACTTTTGAAGAAGTATAAATCTAAATATGGAAAATTTGGCACTCAAACTCTTTACTACTTTTTTTTGAGAAGTTATACCATTGCATATAATTTATAAATTATACTATGTTTAAAAAAATATTAAGCAATAAAAGAACAAGGACCTTTTGTCGTAGGAATTGAGCACTATAATTGATGCACTACAAAAGAGCTTTGGAGATGATAGGTACTAAGTTTAATTAGTCAATTATGTTGACTAATTACATTAATTGGAAACTAAGAAGATAGAAAGGCCAAACCTTTGTATTCAATTGAAGTAAAAATAAATAAGAAATAGTTGTATAATAGAATTTTTTTATGTGCACAAAGAACAATCTATGGCCCCTCACATTGCAAAACTTGTAGATGAATATGGACAATTGCAAGGAAATTCGGAGATGTTGGCATACATTTATCAAACTTTCTATAATAAATTGTATAAGGTGCATTCAATCACCATAGAAACTAGATGCATCGAGTAGCACACAACAATTGACATGTCAAATTAATTGGATATAAGAATAAAAGCTAGTTTTTGGAAGCTACTCACCTTTGGCAAGCTCACAATAATATTAAGTGCTATATAAGTGACTAAGTCATGTAAGTCAAATAATATTATTTTAGAATTTTACAAGATATTTTAAAATTTGTTAGGAATGGAATATTTATCCATGTTACAAGGGAGAATTAAATTGGGCCACCTTTTCCATAAGATGACTTAAGAATCAATATCCTTGTTGCACCAGAACAAACTAAGACATGATATTTCTAATTGGATGCCAATTACTTTGCTAAATATTAGTTATAAGATTTATATCAAAGCTTTGCAACTCCATCTCAAATCAATATTTATACATATTATTAATATAAATCAATTCTTATTTTTATCTAGGTAATATATTCTAAATAATTTATTATTGATGCATGAATAGACAAAGAAATTGAAACAATCCATCTTTTTTCTAAAACTCGATTTTTCAAAAGCTTATGACATGGTTGAATGGCACTTCTTATTTATAATATTGGATAAAATGGGCTTTTTGAGGGAATTCAATGACATAGCAAGATTAATGTTTGTAAATGTGAAAGTTAGTATAAAGATTAAGAACTCACTCTCAAAACCTTTTATGGTTAAGAGAGGAGTTAGGTAAAGATGCATATTAGTATCCTACTTCTTCTTTATTGTGGTAGAAGCTATTTACTCAATGGTATTAAAGAAAGTCAGTCACGATGCCATCAAAGGAATATAATTGCCTATACTATATCCACAACAAATCATGGCACAATATATAAATGATATATCTTTAATCTTATTAGATATAGAAGAGAATATAAAATATATTATTTATATAATAAAAATATTTTATCTATAATTAGATATTATTCTTAATGAATTTAAATCAAGTGGCTATTGAAAAAAGAATCAAATATTAATTTTTCCTCTCTAGACAAATGATCTAGGTATTATATAGGCAAATGATGGATCAATAAAAAAATTATTAACAACATTATATAGCCTCTTTTTCACGTCAACAAACTATGATACCTTTTTGCAACAAAAAATAAACAAGAAATCAAACCATTAGAATTCAATGATGGTTAATGTAATAGATAGAAGGGTAGTGGTCAATAATATCCTACTTTTTATAATATTCTTTTTTATATCTTTCTAGAAAAGAACAAAAAGTGGTATAACTAAGATTAAAGCCTCTCTTGGTAGCTATTTAGTAGAAAGAACTATGCAACATACTCACACAAAAATCTCATGGATACATTAATGCCAATCCGTATATAAAGGAGGAATTAACTTCATTAATTTGGTGAATGCATAGTAGTCTTAAAAATCAAATAGATTATTAAGACCTTAGAACCAAGTGATTTCAACCTACACTTAATATTGCAACATCATCTTAGTTAATTTTAACCACACATAAGAAAGAATTGGCAACCAAGCTTAGAATTCTTTACCATCATGAACATTAAAGTAAAAAAGATTCTATGGTATAAAATAGGATTACAACAGCATGGAAGACTTTCCTCTCTTACATCACATAATTATCCCTAATTTGTCATGAGGAGTTGCTTAATCTTAATATGTGGCATCAGCCTAATGTCATTGGCATTACTTTTAGATTCACTAAAATAAAGGTGGCAATACTTCACAAAAATGGTCTATAAAAATATAGGGACATTTAGAAGCATGGTAACTTTCTAAGCTTTGCAGAAGTTCAAAGCCATTTCAATCTTAAATCAAAAGAGGAAGAAATATAGGTGGCACTAATTGCCATGCTTCATCAACATTGGAGACAATTTTTGTCAAGCTTAGAATCTCAACTACAAGATGATGAATGAATTGATCTTTTTACTACTAAAGATTCATGGTTGAGTATAGTGGTGTGGCAAATTAATAGGAGATATTAAGTTATCACAAATTTCACAAAGTACTAGATCTCCCTTAGTATCAAAATCTATACAGTGGACAATAAGTTAAGTAGTTTGACAAAATTCTTCAAAGAAGATTGACGTCTTTAGAACCAAAGAGTAGAGAAGGAAGAGCATGGTTCAACACAAGTGATTGGTATCCTCAAAAGGATCAAAATTATATCATTGCAACAAGAATTAAGTAAAAATGTCATCATTTTCTTTTATGGCAAGATCAACCATCTAGTATGGAATCTTGGCCGCTTCCAATGGCAAGCTAAGTCCCATTTATGCACTACACAACAAAACTGGGTTGGTCCTTGCTATAAAAGCACCATGTAATTCAAGACGTGATAATCCAAAAATGGAGGAAAATGTTGCTTTTCAACTTTAAACTTAAGTAAGTGAATGTTTGGCATAAAAAGAAGGTGAGGAAAGAGGCGGGGCTCTTCTAATTGACATGGCATTGTATCATGGTTGTAAACTCGTGGAGAAGAAGAATAGATGGTAATATTGATCAATGTTGTCCAATGTGCTTGACAAGCACCAAAGAATCTATACTTTATAGGTTTTAGGAGTGCTCTTCTGCAATATAAGCATGGAAATGGAAAATTCACATACTCCAATTACTTGTATTGAATTTAAAAGAAGTGGAAAGGTGGAAGAGGGTGGCAAATGACAACACTACTAATGAGGAATATCATGAAAGATGCCCAAGTAGTAGAATGAATACAAAGGGCACAACCAACCAATGTGTGAATCTCACGCAATTCTCTTCTTTGCGAAAGCATTTTATATTTGCATATATGATCCTCTTAAGGTTAAAAATAGTGAATTGAGTCTGGCTTCTGCTTCATGAAGTGGTTGTCTAAATCCTATGGATTGAGAAGAACAATGTTGCATACAATAGTGTATAATGGTCAAAGAAGAAACTATACCAAATGATTTGGTTGCATGTCGTGGACTACGATAGAAACATGTGGTTTAAAATGCAATAGAGAATGCAAGCCATACCTTTAAAGTTGGAGAATGGGCCCAAAAGTTTCATCAACAATGGTAGAAGAACATTTTGGCTTCTAGGCAACAAAGTAAACCTGAATGAAAGCTCGTTGGTCCTAGTAGTAGTTTTGTCTCTAGTAATAGTCAGTAATTTAACCTACGTGGCTGGACCTAGCTGGGGTTTCGTACACTAACCTTCTGCAATAAAGAAAATCTTTATTTGCGTCAAAAATAAATAAATAAATAAATAAATGTTCTGTCATTAGGGTGTTAGAATTTTCGTTCCTTCAATCTTAGGGAGATGCAGTGAGAGTGATAACATGATATTAGACCCAGCAATGACATTCTATGGACATCATTCACCTAAAACACCCTCCAAGACCAAAGGACTGCATGATTATATTTCAGAGAATAATCTTGCACCAAAGTTCACTGATCTTTTCCTGGAATACTCTCTACTATTAGCAGTTCATGCATCGGGAGGGATACATTATTGCAAGACAATACCAAGGTTCAGTTGGGGCTCACTGTAGAGTCCTTGGATTACTGATTAAGGATTATGCCTCACAGCTCACCCACAATCCACAACCAGACACAAGGGCAAAATCCCTACGTCAGGGTAATCACTTTGCAACACTCGTCAAATATCTTCAGAGAGAACAAGTGTGCCTACCATGAATTTTAAGCGAAAAGTTTTTGTCGCGGAGGCATCAAACGAACGAATTCAGTCTTAGTGCACATACAATCACATGCTCCCCCCATCAATCATGAGACTGGATTACAGAACAAAATTGCGTTGTTTCATCAAAATAGCCCACAAAATTTACGAAGCATCGAGAAATAGCTGGGCCCCGCCGGAATGGTTAATAATAGATGAGAGTTACATGAGAAATACGAACCTCGAGATCGTAAACCATTAAAGATCTTGGTGTGTGTACACCCGTTTTTGGATCTAGACCTTTCCCCATAAATTAAATATTCCAAAACAATCGACATAATCAACACATGCGGTTACTGATAGTCGCACACTCGGATTATATGAAAAAAACGTAAGTGATAGCTGCCATCATGATCTAGTACGAGACACAGTGGGGGACAAACTAAATGAGACAACTCAATTGACGAAACCAAGGCGAGCAGTTAAAATCCCCTACAGCTTTGACTGGAGTGCTACTGCAAGCCTTGATAAAGACAGCTAAGTACAAAAATATCGTACGTTTTGCGCACCCCTAACTAAATAAATCAGAACGACGATAATTAACTCTCAACATGACACTGTTTATCATACAAGGCAGCATCAGGACATCTACTTCATGTAAACAAAGATGGGTGAAGCACAGCCGGAAGTCTGGCGGGCACTCTGGTCATCTCTCTGGGTGGAGTGAAAGACATTTGTTCAAGAAATGACTCGACCAATCCTGCACCATGAAAACTGCCATTTCCGCTCCGGAAGCTGTCAACATTGAACCCTCTAGTGGTGACAACGTCCGACGTTCCATGTCTATCCCTGAACTCATCGTTGCCACCATCATCCTCGAACATGAAACCATGGTCAGTAGATTCCATGATTGAGGAAGCAATGGCCACGTCATGCATGTCAACCAACGAATCATCTTCCCATGAGGAAGTTGGTTCAGAAAAAGTCTGGTTCACGAAGTCATCATCCTCTTCTGAAAACTCCTCGTACAACTCTGGGAGCTCGACCATTGCCCAGTGAATGAAATGAGGTCGAATGAACCTATCTGATTGCCTGAGTAGGTAAGGATCAAATGGAAAAAACATGTCAAGTCTTCCTTCACCACCAAAGGATCCACAAGCCTGCGAAGCGGCAGCATCCCTAATGTTCGACCATTGCCTGCAGTCCACGAGTTGCGCAATGCTAGCCTGCTTCACAAACTCGTCAACCACGGATGGCAAGCAAATCGTTAGAGGCTTCAAGTGGTGCTCAACCAACTCCTGAAGAGGCAGGTTCCGAAGGAGTCGTTTAAGTCTTTGGTCTTCCGTCAAATCCTTCAATCTGAAGCAAAGAACATACATAACAGCTTGGCAGGCACAATAAAATACTCCATGCAAAACTGGGTCAACACTTGTCATAGTAGGATTTCTTCTGTCTTCAGCCAGCTGCGCATATGACACGCACCAATGCAACAATCTCCTCACTGAATCCATCACAACATTCAGAGGAAGATAAGCTGCTCGGGCGAGATAGCTGGCAAGATATGCGGCCGCAGACATTCGGGTATTAGGAGGGCGCGTTTTACATTCGAAGATGTCACAGAGGAGGGATGCAAACGTGCTCCCACAGGTTTCAGGTGCAAGAGAACATAAGTAGAAAATCAAAAACTGAGTGAACTTGGACTTGTAAGTGTCAAGAATAGTCGTCTGGAAAGATCTCATCAGCGTCTCAAAAACCAAGTCCCCGTGACCATTTTGGACACACGTGTGAAGATGGTCAAGGGTCATATCCATGATCAGGTCCATCTTATCGGCCATTTCATCCAAGGTGGGCAATGCTCCAGTCAGATCTGACCGACTATCAGATGTCTGATGCTGTTGTTTGGCTTCGCATCCGGGCCCAGTAGAATCGACTACGGCGAACCCGTCGTCGACGTCGTGCCCTCCAAACAAATCTTCGTCATCATCAAGGTTCATGTGGAACATAAATACTTTATTGCTGTCTTCATCTCTCATAATGTCTTCCCACCTGATCTCCACGTCAATCTCAATAAGACGGTCGACAATGAGCGAAAGCATCTGTCCTCCGAGTACACTGCTCAAAGAGCTATTCTCCAATCTCAGCATGTTTTCTACATACAGAGTTAACCACTGCTTGTCACAAGTCCTGTGGGGCATCCTTTGAACCACAATGTGCTGCAATCGAAAGGCCGCAGTGGGAACAAGCTCCACAGTTTGAACAAGGGCAGAGTGGAGACGTTCTAAAACCTGCAAGAGAAACCCTAAACCATTAGACATTCAGAATTATCCACAATGCAGATACTTAAATCCTAACGAAGGAGATATCATTGAACGATACATGTGAAAATTGGTATCAAACCATTATATGTATGAATTTGTGAGGCATAAGTCTAAATTAATTAGGCTTACCTTATCCTTTTTAGTGAGGTGTTCCAGACCTTGAGACTTCAGCTTATCCATGGTGGTAAGCCCCATCATCAGCCCAGTTCGGCTGAATGAATCAAAGAACGACGGAAGTCCGCAAGAAGGCGGCAAAAAGTTGCGCACCAACATGTCGAGACAATCGGGCACAAAGCACCCATTGGCGGTCGACAAATTAACCACAAAGGCCAGAAGAGCGTCCACCACTTCAAAGCTGTAAGTCCAGACGCTCATACCAAGCAAGTACTGCAAAAGCGTCCTGTGAGCACGTTCATTTAAGTACGACACACACTGAGAGAGCGCGTTAATTCTAACAGCCAACTCCGGAGCACCCTCGTCGCCATGGAGCCGAGGGTCACGCAGGGCTTCGCAGAGGTGATTGTAATGACCTTTGTCCACACCGTCGGATCCGGATTTGAGCGCCTTCAATACCCAGGCGCGGGCAACGATCATAACTTCCTCCTCCGAGAAGTCCTGAAGTCGCTGCTGCTGATCATTATGCTGATTGTGCTGCTGCGGCAGCACTCCTTGAGCAGCCGTCATGGCTGCAGTACCACTATCCGTTCACCGCAACTCCAGAACAGCAACGGTGCACCCCGGCACTCCAAGTCCAAGTCCTCCAAGGCTGTATGATACGCCGCAACACGACCAGGTTGGAAGAAATCCCAAACCTGCAATGGTTCATCAAGATTGGCTTCTACACCTCTCGACACTCTACAAGCGACGCACGTCCGCGAAACCAAACCCTCGTCACTCACCCAGTGATGAACTATGCAATTGTTTCAAGTTCAGAGCTCCCCCTGCCAGCGGCGGCAACCAAAGACCTTCACCAAAACAGCTAACTCCTCGCTGGCGTATTAGGGCTTTGGCTCGGCGATCACAGAATCCGGATCGTCGCCCGCCATTCGATGTTCCATCCTACGGTCGAAACCGCTCCCCTCTGTAGACGCGTTCCCACCCCTTTCCATGTTCCCTTCGCTCTCTCCATTCCAGGCTCTTCATTTTCGAGCCTCATCCTCGAGGTTCGGCACTTTTAGGTTAGGAACTTCCCCCGAGTGAGATATTCGGAAATTTCCGCCCTTTGCTTTTACTTTAACGTGCGGAGGATTTCCCCTGCCGACATTTCCAAGGCGTCGCTCGTGTAATTTATCAAAAAGAGCTTCAGGTTTCATTCTTTATAGCTAAAAGAAACACACCACTGTTGTTTCTTCACCGTCATTTTAGTGGAAATGAAAGGAAATAAAATCAGTTGCGCTAGTTGACGAGTAAAAATAATGGGAGTGAATATCCACAGCGTGGCAGCAAAATCGGCCTGCGCTGTGCTGTGATGTGATAAAAGCGGGGGCCTTATCCAAATCGGTGGGTAATGCTCGTAAAAGCTTCAGCTATGCGTGGTTCACAAAGCCTCTTTTGGGTTTCCCGAATGGAGAGCTCTCCCGGCATGAGAACCCAGAAAAAAGCAAAAGAAAGGGAGTCCAAGTTGTCCCATGGGCTCGTCGGCCTTTGAATCTTCCCATCAGGATTCTCCGACAACTGCTGCGCCACTGACTGGAACGTGACGCTGACGAGGCTGCTACTGAGGATTGATGCATTCACCCTGGGAGTGCCTCCAACTTCAATGCTTGTGACAGGGCGTAGCAGGAATTTCGTTGAGCGGGAACTCGTTCTGAAGTTTCGGAACCCTAACTGGAGATTCTGGATTGAATCCCTACTGGACTCATCTTGGAAAGTGGCATCCACGGTGGCCATAACCCAAGTCGACGAAGACGCTTTTTATAGGGGAGAAACCCTGAAACGCTTCAAATTCAAGGCGAGAACCGCAGCGCGAAATGTTTGCACGTGTTCGGCAGAACCCAGAGGGCTATTAACGCATGTCCAGAACTCCCACCAAGCCACTTGTTCGGCGAGCTATTTCGGAGGGCGTGTTAATCAGTCGTTTTAGAAATGTTGAGACCAGGATGGCGACGAAGAAACCTCAATGCGGGAAAAGTCCGCTCCATATTGGGGGAGACGCTGCCGCTGACACAAAACTCGCTTCATCGAGCCGACGAGACCCTTCCCGAAATTCGAGGCTCTGAAATGTAGAGTGATGGTGATGAAGAGGTGACGCAACTTAGGATTCAACAAACCCCCAACAGTGGAAATCACGTCTGGGCATGGGTGTGTGTGCTTCTATGATATTTTTTTATTTTTATTTTTATTAAATGGTTCTGAATGGCGTGTCCAAAGCCCATGTTTTCCAGGAAGACGAAGATTATTTTTCGAATGTGAAGTGAGGCTTGTGCTGGAAGAACCTCTGTGAACTTTTGAAAGTAATTTAGGGTTTTGGAAATCAAATACATATTCCTTACACAACATCGTAGAATTTATGAAAATGATCAATGTTTATGAGAGTGTGTAAGAGTTATTTGTAAGATACAAAATGAGAAAGAGTTGCCAAAGATAAAGGAGTATGTGAGTAGAGTTGTGTTTGGAATCGAGTGTTTGCTTTGTTTTAATTTGTGAAAGTAAAGGTGGTGGTTTCATGGAGGCTTCTATTGAGCAAGTAAAGATTCTTTTGGACATTTATCATAGTCTTCATTCAAGCATTGAAAGTTAACCGATGGAATTTTTGAAACATTGAGTGTTATCCTCCTGTAAGCATAACATGAAGCAAAGCATTAGCCTTTTTTAAAATTAAAAAAGAGGTTTTTACAAAATAAGAGGTTATAAATAAATGAATAAACAAATAAAGAACTCTGAATACTTCTTTTGGTTTGATGTACGTTTATAAAAATAATATTTAATATTGATGGTTGTGTTAATAAGTATATTGTTGCAATAGTCACTCATAATAACACAAAATAAATACACATATGTATGTATTTAGATATATATATATATATATATATATACATATAATAAAGTAACCCAAATGTTTATTAAATTGATCCAAATTGTCAAAACCATCATTATACTTCCATCTCATGAAGCCATTCCCATCATTTTCAATCCTTTAATCTTTATTTTTCATACAAACCTTCCAAGACCTTGTTTCTAGTTACCTCATGTGACAACCAAGTGTCGCCACCCAAGTTGAGATTTGAACCTAAAGCTCTAAGCAATGAACCACACAACCTGCTCTTTAATCAAATCCTAATAAAATCTTAACCAAATCCTAAATCCTAATCCAATCCTAATTCTAATCCAATCCTAATCCTAAATCAAATCCAAATTCCTATTCCACTCCTAAATCCTAAGAAAATCTTAAATCCTAAATCCTAATCCAATCCTAATCCTAAACCAAATCCTAACCAAAACCTAATTAACTCAACTTAATCCTAGCACACTTTAAAACTTCAATATCTATGAATTAAATTGTTGATCTTATTTGAAATTTTATACACTTTTCAAAAACTAAGTTAGAAACAAGCACGTAAAATTTGAAGAGGATTAAACTTACCAAATAGAACAAAATATCAAAATCCACTAGGGTATTAGTTGGCCTCCTTCTTCAACCTTGATGCTAGTCTTTTAGTACCAATATCTTCTTTTGACACCATTTATTTTTTTTAAAATTTATTCATATATAGCAATTTAAGTCTATTGTCCTTACATATAAATTTCACTCTAATCCAATTAAAATATTACTAAAGATCTTAAAAATTCTAATTGCCCTTTAAAGTCCAATTTCCAAGACCTCAATCTGCTTGAAATTCAATAACCTTCAATTCAATTGTTTGATCAAGCTCAAACTTACAACATATATTTTAGACAACTATTTTCATAAGTCCTTGAAATTTTAACTATAGATCTACTACTAAACTTACAAGATTCTCCAAAATATGATATCTTTTTTATTTAATAAATTTTAGAGTCATCCAAAACAACCATGACTTTGCAAAACTCTTACAAAGTCATTACACATTTAAATCAATGAAAACTAATGCCCAAAAAAACCTTATTAAGTTTTCTATCAAATCCTATTCTTTGATTTGCCAAAGAACCTTGGAGTCACCGTACCTACAGGGTTATGTGCCTTGGGATCTGATTTCAATCCTAATTGACAATTAGTCCTCTCTATATATCAATTCTTGACTCCTTCATGTAATTTTTATTAAAATCTACTCTTAACTCTCTCTTAAACATATCTATATTATTTTATTTTTCAATCTACTTTTTTTTGTCTTCTTTATGGTCCTATTAAGTAAATAGTAGCCTATTTCATAAAAAGGTAGCAATAGCATCATTTAGTTTTACTATCTTTTTTACTATAACCTATTTTTTAAGATTTTTGTTATAATATTTTAAAATAGGATCTTTTATAATATAGTGTTTTCTTCTCTCTTTCATTCATTAATTATGTTTCATCACAACAATAAAACGATTTTTCAATAATCATAGAGATTATGTATTGTAGAAGACTGAAGTTCATTACAATTTGGGTTTCTTTCTACAATTTTATTTTCTAAATGGCCTTGTGCCATCGAAGGACATTTGAAACATGACTCAAATAAATCAAATATTTAGAGACTTTGTATGGTTCATACTTTTAAAAGAAGACAAATCTTTAGAATCTAATTTAGAGTAGTAGTGTAAATCTTTATACAATCCGTATATATGTTTTGCATCTTTAATTATGATTATATAAATTCAATTTTTTTCTCTCTCTTCTTTAAATTAAAAAAGAAAATATTGCTAATAGTATCAAAGTATGAGAATTATAGAAAAAAACCAAGATGTAATCCAATTGATGTTTATGCATATTTATTACAAATTCAAGTGTATGGATGTAGATTGCGATGGAGTGATTACACTCTTCAAACTAAATCAAATGAGATGCAATATATTTACAAAGAGCAACTTCATCAAATAGAGTATATGGCTTAGGAGCCTATTCTTTTTGATGATGTTGTTTGTCAAATGGCTTACATAATAGAGCTAGCAGTAAGCATTTTTTTTTGAAGATTTGTATTAATTCATTCTCAATCCTTAGTTGCTTTAATATTCAATGAATTGGTCAGTACTTAACATGGATGTATTATTGAAATCTATTCCTTACTTAGCATTGAATATTAAAAAGATAGTGCAATTACATAATATAAACATTTGAATAATTATAACCATTCTCATTTTACAAATGAAGAATGCATATACAAATAGTTTAAAAGTATTAAAATATTAGAATTTAATCACAAATAACAAATCAAAAGTCCTTTGCTTTATTCCATATTAAATTTAAAATCTTCTTTAAACCTTTTTCTTGAGTCTAGGCTTGTTTTTATATGCACAAGATTGGATTGGATATATAAGTATTTTTTTTCATCTAAGCTAGAACATACATCTAATTCAATCCAACTAAAAATCAATATTAATATTCATGAAGTTAACATTTATTTGAATATTTTCAAAGATGGTTTGCTTCAGAGCTCCATCTTCCTTTGGAATGTATACTCTCAAACTAAATCAATCTGAGTCTGATTATTTTTTCAATTATAAAACTCTAGGCTTTCAGTTTCTTCTTTCAAGGATTTGTATAATAACAATATTTTAATATTTTCCAAATAATTGAGCTCTATGTTGCCTCCACCCGTCCTTCAACTTTTTTCCACTCCTAAAACCACTCTCCTACTTCAAATTACATTGGAAGCATTGAGCATTATCATGTTGGATAATTGCCCTTTGGAATCGCCTTACAGACTTACTAAATTGGGAATAAAGGTATTTCAAAGTATTTATCTACACTTATTGCAATGGATAGTCTAGTCAAAGAATTGATAATTGAATTATAAAGATGGCTGCTTCAAGCTTATAGACCATGAGTTGCTGTCAAAGATAAGAACATAATAAAGACA